CGTGCAGCATCCCCGAGTGACCTGAGTCCTGGGCGGGGGGGGAAGCCCTAATATTTCCTAATATTTGGGGTGGGGAGGTGGGGAGGGGGCCACACCTGCCTCCTGGCCATGGCCACGCTGCAAAACTCATTTCTGTGGTTCTGAAACTGCCCTGGTGTTTACCTGGATTTTATCCATCCTCATCCTCACACATGTTAACGCACCGCTGGGAGCCCATCCCACCTCCCCACAGACCCTCGGGCCGCCTCTTGCACTGGAGTCAGTGGGAGCACAGCTGAGGTGCTGGAGCACAGAAGGGTGGATCCCACCCCAGACCCAGCACAGCTTTCCTGGGAGGTTGTGAGTACATCATTTAGGCCCCGAGGCTCCCACTGGAGCCCAGGGTCCAGCGCTCTCCTGCCCAGCAGCTCTCAGCGCTGGGCTGGGGGCTCCTCCGAGCTCCCATGAACCTGGGCTGGTACATCACAGCTGGCACTGGCGCTGGCTGGAAATTCTCAGATAAAGATACCTGGGGCAAAATATGTCTCTTTTCATTAAACTATGTGGAAGGAAAGAAATAGAAGAGGGGAAGTAGTGTTGGTGTTGAAATGATTTGCCTCCTGTCCATCACCAAGCACAGAGGTTTGTGGCTCGCTCCCTCTGGCAGCTGCTCCCCAAGAGCCGCGCAGCACGTTGTTGAACAAGCCATGAAGACGGGAGCCTGTGCAACGCCACGCTGCCCTGGGGTCTCCCAGGCAGCACTACAGCTGGGCACTGCTGCCTCTTATTATTTTTTTTAACGGCTGGAAGCACTTGTCTTTGAGCCCGGCGCCTCGGTGCGGCGCGGCGTAGCCGGCACCAGCGCTGTGCCGCACGCCGGCTTGCACGTACACAAGTGTGCAGAGGAGTGCTCTTCTGGTTCAAGGAGATCTTCTTGTTCACCCCAGGCTGAAGGACTGCCCAGCCAAGGGCTCCCTTGCCCCGGGGGGCGTGAGGAGCTGTGCTCCGTGCTAGCGGAGAGCGTGGCGGTGCTCAGCGCTGCCCTGCACCCACCGGCTGCTTCCACTGCCCTTGTGCATCAGCGGGCGCCGAGCGTGGCATCTCCCACCCTCTGGGCAGATCCAGGCTTTCAAAAATATACCCAGGGCTTACTGAGAAAACAAAATCAAACTAAAGAACCCGCCTCTTTGCACAGCTGGAGTTTAATTACACGTGTGGCTGGATTAAAATATGCAGGAGCAGGTGAGGTGAGAGTGTGGGGGACAGAGCACAAACGCAGGTGCTGGGTGTGGGTCGTGCTGTCTCTGAGACCCCGCTCCCACGCCTGAAATGCTGCAGCACATTTACTCCCAGATGCCACCGTTTCTGCCTTGCTCATGTGTCCACTGTGGGGAGGGAAGCTGCGATGCTTCTGGGTGGCATCGTCTTGCAAATAGTCTAAGCATGCCCTGCTTAGACACTTAATGTGGAGCAAAATCAGAAACCTGCTCATGCATTGCTTCCTTTGACAAAAGAAAATGTAATAATGCAGAAAAAATAGTATCAATCCATCCCAAGTGCTTCTTTACTGCTCTGTCTGCTTGAGTGACCCCATCCAGAGACTGCACTGAGTGAGCTGGGAGTGCTCAGCAGTGGTTGGTAAAGAAAAAATAAAGCTAAATATGGTACACCTGTACCCAGAGGAGCTGGTGATTGCCCAAAACTGGGCAGGGAAGCTGGGGTGGGAACAGGGAGCTGCAGCTGCCCTCTCCCCAGCACTGCAGTCGAGCAGCGGTCTGGGGCTTAGGAGGGATTTCTGGTTTTAATTCTACCCACCTCCGTGGTGACATTGGCCTTTCTACAACCTGAAACAGAAGAACCTGAATGGCTGCTTTTAAGCTCATAAATCCAGCCCCACCTGAACCCCCCACCTTCTCTGGCCGCCCTTCCCTCCACTGGCAGCAAGTCAGTGCCAACGCTCCCCCGCACCTTCTGCAGCAGCTGCGGCTTCAAAATCCCCCGTGGCAGCACAAAGCTGCGGCCGCCCCTGAGAGCAGCCGGGGTCTCGGCAAGCAGCGAGGTGTGATGGTCCCCGCTGTGCCTCAGGCACCGGCCATGCCAGGGGGCACCAGCAGTGCCAGCGCGGGTACCTGGGGGTACCCATTGCCCCTCTGCCACCTGCCCCAGCCTGCGACCTGCAGCTTCACTGTCCTGGGGGGCCCAGGGAGCTGCAGACACCGAGAGACAGCAAGGAAGGTGCAGAGACACGGGGAGAAACCGGGCGGGTGCTGTGAGATGGGCTCTCATGGTGCTGAGCCACCAGTGCTGCTGGGGAGAGGCAGGCAGCCCGAGCAGAGCTGCTGCAGCCTCACAGCCACCCTCTCCCTCGTCGGCTCAGGGGCACACGGATCTCCCAAGAGACTGGCCATGTTTGCACCCACCAGGGCAGCTTGGAAATTAAATGCTTCCTAAAGCCCGAGCAAAAATCACCTGCCCTCTGGGCAGCACTCCACCACGCAGCCACACAAACCATTATCACCAGCAACAAAAATTAAAGAAAATGATGTAGGTGAATGTTACCTGAGGATTTGAACGCTGTCAGCTCTACAGCCTGAAAGAGAGGAGAACATTTGTTAG